CAGGCCCCACGACCAGACCCCCCCCCAAAAAAAAAAAAAGAGTCTCATGGACTTTCCTGCCTCGGCTGGCTTTGAACCGTGATCCTCAGGTCTCAGCCTCCTGAGTAGCTAGGATTACAGGTATGAACTACCGGCGCCCGGCTCCACTTCTGGCTTTTTCTGTTGATGTGGTACTGAGGAATGGAACCCAGGGCTTCATGCATGCGAGGCAAGCACTCTACCACTAAATCACATTCCCAGCCCCTAGACTCAGACTTTACTCTCTCTAGCTTGTTTCATGTCCAATCCCATCTGCAACGCTTTCCTCCTAAGTTGACATTTTTTCCCTTTCCATCTTTAATTGACACAATCTGTGAGGTAGGTATCATCATGAATACGGCTCATAAATAATAGCATGAACGAACTGTTACAAACAAAAGCTCAGCAAAGCTGTGCTTTTGAATCTTCCAAGATGGTCAAACTTCTCACTTCTCCAATGCTCTTTAAGGTTTAGCTGGGCAGGGCTTGCGGGCTGACAGAGCAGCGACGGGGACAAGAGGCCTGGCTTCTGCTGTCCCAGCCTTGTGTGCGCCTTGTTTCTCAAGGCCCTGTGAATGCTCAGTAGAAGAAGCTGAGTTATCTAAAAGGAAAAATAAAGAGATGAGCTGGCCAGTGATACCTTCACTGTCAAAATTCCACTTTATATTGGGAGCATCTGCCCAGCTACCCAGGCCTCAGACAAGACTCCTGATACATGAGTTTAAAGAGTTTTGTCTGCATTCAAATATATGATTAATATATTAAAAGTATAATAAAGCTGGGCTCTGGTGGCTCACACCTGTAATCCTAGTACTCAGGAGGCTGAAATCTGAGGATCGCAGTTCAAAGCCAGGTGGCCAGGAAAGTCCATGAGACTCTTATCTCTAATAAACCACTCAGAACACAGGAAGTGGCGCTGTGGCTCAAGTGGTAGAACACTAGCCTTGAGCTGAAGAGCTGAGGGACAGTGCCCATGTCCAGTTCAAGCCCCACGACCAAAAACAACAACAACAAAAAGTATAATAATAGGCAAGTAATCGTGGTTAATGCTAGCCTTCAGTGAAAAAGCTCAGAGACAGCACCGGATCCTGAGCTCAAGACCCATAGCCAACAAAAGTAAAATAAAATAAAGTAACTATCATGCAATGTAATAAAGAAAGCCATCTCAAATAATATTTAACTTTCTAGTTACGGGAGAAAAAGTGATCATTTCTGTCAAACCAAATGTCTCCCATCTTGTAACCAGTCACAGTTCAGTACCAGTATTTCCTAGAATTATTTGCTTCTTGTCTTGAAACGATAACCACTTGCTATGTTGTTTGTGACCAGCCAGCCATGTTAAAGAATAGAGCCTCTCCACCCCACCTTGAGTGAGAACTTCTTCACTAATGCTTGAAGTACTTTCAAACTTCCTTATATTATCCCATTACACTTGATAACCAATTGTGAGTCACGGGGCTCTGACTCCCGGACAAGGAAGAGGGATAGTGTAGATTGGGATAAAAACTGAGCTAGGCAAGCACTCTACCACTAAGCCACATTCCCAACCCCTCTATTCATTTTCTGACAGTGGAGGGTCGTGAGTTTCCAACATAGTTATTGAACCATCTCCTTCCTCTGTTCTCAGCCTAGCTGTTAAGGCTGCTCCACTTCCTGAGCTTTCCCTCAATTTACCTGGGTGCTACTCCATTCAAATCCTTGGGCACATTCTATGAATTGGCAGTCTTCTCTTTTTTTGGTTAGAACTACAGGGCTCTATTCCAAAAGGTCAACTGCCTTAAGCTTTCCAAGGATGAAATTGCAATGAACATACAAAGTATTTCATCCCCAGACTTACTTTCAAGTGTGTATATGTGTGTATGTGTGTGTGTGTGTGTGTGTGTGTTAGTACTAGGGCTTGAACTCACAGCCTCACACTCTTGCTTGGCTTTCTCACTCATGGCTGGAACTCTCCTACTTGAGCCATACCCCCACTTCCAGCTTTTTGCTGGTTAACTGGTGATTGTCTGTCAGATTTGTCTGCCTGGGCTGGCTTCAAGCCAGGATTCTCAGATCTCAGTTAAGATTAGTTAAGATTACAGGTATGCACTCCCAGCAGCATCCGGCTCTCAAGTGAGTCTCCTTCCTCTTCACAGTGAAGAATCTCCAAAGCATCTCATTGCCTATGGTTCTCGGCCATTTCGGAGACGCCTACCTTTATTTTCAAGCATCTCGTGCAACTTCATATGCTTGTAGGCAGAGATGATCTGAAAATTCACAACACTTGAAACACTTAGTTCTTGGTCCTCCAGCCACTTGAGGGAGGCGGCGTGGATGAGCTGATGGGACCGTTTGCAGGTGTGAAGTGTGCACTCTCCACGCACAAAGTTCTTACACACATGGAACTTGGTGCATTTCTCCTTGAGGTTGCAGTAGCCGTAGGGGGGGTGGCCGCCTTTGTTGTACAGCAAACAGACCTAGAGCAGAAATAAGGGAACACATCAAGTGTGAGCGTTCACTGTGTCTTCTTTTATTTTGATTTTGTTTAAGGGGGCACAGGACTTGAACTTGGTACCTCATGCTCTCAGTCAGGTGCCTTGCTTGCTATCACTTTATTTATGTATTTATTCATTTTTTGGTGCTGGTTCTGAGGCTTGAACTCAGGGTCTGGGTGCTGTCTCTGAGCTTTTTCACTCAAGGTTAGCACTTGAGCCACAGCTTCACTTCCAGATTTTTGGTGGTTAATTGGAGATAAAAGTCTCACAAATTTTCTTGACTGGGCTGGATTTGAAGCTAGAATTATAGACATGAGCTCTGTATCTTTTAAGCCCTAAACTACTGGGGATTACATCATCTTCGTTGTTGTTGTTGTTGTTGTTGTTGATCACGGGGCTTGAACTCTGGGCCTGGGTGCTGTCCCTCAGCTCTTTAGCTCAAGGCTAGCACTCTACCACCTGAGCCACGCAGCCACAGCCATTTCCGGTTTTCTGTGGTTTACTGGAGATAAGAGTCTCACGGACTTTTCCTGCCCATCTTGGCTTTGAACCTCGATCCTCAGATCTCAGCCTCCTGAGTAGCTAGGATTACAGCTGTGAGCCACCAGCACCCAGCTTAAATCATCTTCTTTCAATTCTTGCTTTTAATACTAATGGTAATATTAATTAAGATTATAGGCTCACACCTGTAATGCTAGTAACTTAGGAAGCTGAGATCTGAAGACAGTTTCCAAGCCACCCTGAACAGATAAATGCAAGAGACTCTTATCTCCAATTAGCTAGCAAAAAGACAGAAGTGGCAGTATTAAGAGTACTTCCGGGGCTGGGAAGGTGGCTCAGTGGTAGAGCACTTGCCTTGCATGCATGAGGCCCTGGGTTCGATTCCTCAGCACCACATAAACAAAAAGAAAAAAGCCAGAAGTGGCGCTGTGGCTCAAGTGGTAGAGTGCTAACCTTGAGCTGAAGAGCTGAGGGACAATGCCCACGCCCAGAGTTCAGGCCCCACCACCGGACCCCCCCCCAAAAAAAAAGAGTACTTCTGAATCAAGTGTTTCTACACCAGCTTGAGCAAAAAATCTAAGAGAGACACATGGCCCTGAGTTCAAGCCCCAGTAGCAGGGCTTGAGCCAAACCTAACAAACCTTTAGAATATTAGGATAGAGGAATATGGTAAATGACAAAACAGGAATGTAATTGCTTAACTTGAAATATGGAAAATTACACAGAACACATAACCTACTTCAAAATAAAACATCTTATCTTTAAAACAAACACATAATTGTAATGCAATTCAACCTGCCAAGTTTCTATAATGTAGCTTTAGAAATTTAACTAATTCTAAATCTAGTCTGCAAAAGGAAACAAGAACTGATTAAGCAAACAAAAAGAATGGAAAAAGAAGAATAGTAAGCAAAGCGATTTCTATTGTCTATTAAAATATGAACTAGGGCTGGGAATGTGGCTCAGTGTAGAGTGCTTGCCTAGCATGCATGAAACCCTGGGCTGGATTCCTCAGTACCACATCAACAGAAAAAGCCAGAAGTGGTGCTGTGGCTCAAGTGGTAGAATGCTAGCCTTGAACAAAAGCAGCTCAGGGATAGTGCCCAGGCCCTGAGTTCAGGACTGGCACACACACACACACACACACAAATAAATAAAATAAAATAAAAGCTAAGGTAAATAGCAGGATATAGAGTTAAGCTGAAGACCAGGAACAGATCTCAGCCCAAAAATCAGAACACTCTTAAAACTCAGAGGAGCCAGATGAGGGTAGCTCATGACTGTAATCCTAGCTATTCAGGAAGCTGAGATCTGAGGATCTCGGTTCTTATCCCTAATTAATCACAGAAAAAGCCAGAAGTGGTGCTGTGGCTCAAGTGGTAGAGCATCTTGGGCAAAAAGGAGCTCAAGGGGGCTGGGGAGGTGGCTCAGTGGTAGAGCGCTTGCCTTGCATGCCTGAGGCCCTGGGTTTGATTCCTCAGCACCACGTAAGCAAAAAGAAAAAGCCGGAAGTGGCGCTGTGGCTCAAGTGGTAGAGCGCTAGCCTTGAGCTGAAGAGCTGAGGGACAGCGCCCAGGCCCAGAGTTCAGCCCCCACGACCAGACCCCCCTCCCAAAAAAAAAGGAGCTCAGGGACAGTGCCCAGGCCCAGAGTCCAAGCCCTAGGACTGGCCAAAAAAACAAAAACAAAAAACAAAACAAACAAACAAACAAACTTGGGAGCATAGAGACAGTAGGTTAGAGGGTACAAATTTTCCATTAGAATGAATGATTCTGGAGGCTTCACGTACAGTGCGATGAATACAGTTGATAATACCATATTGTGCCCTAGGCCACTGCTTAGCATAGATCACACAGGCCCTTATCACTCCCCCCAAAACACAAAAACAGCCAGAAAAAAAAAAAGATAAGCATTGATGTGTTGACAGGTATGGTGGCACAGGCCTGTCATTTCTGCTACTCTAGAGCCTGGCTGAGGAAGATTCCAAGATGAAGGCCAGCCCAGGCTTGATCAAGACCTTATCTCAAGCAGGTTGCTTATGGCTCATGCCGGGCTTCAAAGCCTGAAGGAAGTTAAAAGGAGATGGCCAAGAAGAAACCTCTGGCTCCTCAGACACACTTTGCGTGCAGATTCTGCTGTGATGGCGGCCTCTGCCCCTTGCACCAGACTCCTGGCTCACAGTGGGTGCCTTTGCTGCCTCTGGAGTTAAAGCAGGACCGCATGAGGACGGGTAGTATTCACGAGTCTATAGACTGCGAGTGTCTATGATAGAATCCCCATGCTAGATTAGAAAATCCTATTGTTGCAGGGCGCTGGTGGCTCACACCTGTCATCCTAGCTACTCAGGAGGCTGAGATCTGAGGATCGCGGTTCAAAGCCAGCCCGGGCAGGAAAGACCGTGAGACTCCTATCTCCAATAAACCACCAGAAAACAGGAAGTGACGCTGTAGCTCAAGTGGTAGAGCACTCGCCTTGAGCTGAAGAGCTGAGGGACAGCGCCCAGGCCCAGAGTTCAAGCCCCACGACCGACAAAAAAAAAAAAAAAAGAAAATCCTACTGTTTTATTTTTGGTCCGGTTTGATTGTTTTGCTTTTCTTTTATTGTAGGATCTCACTTCATAGCACACGCTGGCCATAAATTCACATTTCTCCTGCCTCTGTCTCCCAAAAGCTAGGATTACAGGTATGTACCACCAGTTTAGAAAATTAGTCCCATAATATATTCTCTTGGGAGTTCCATTTTTTAAAAAATTCTTTATATGGCCAGGGCTGGGAAGGTGGCTCAGTGGTAGAGCGCTTGCCTTGCACGCATGAGGCCCTGGGTTCGATTCCTCAGCACCACATAAGCAAAAAGAAAAAAGCCGGAAGTGGCGCTGTGGCTCGAGTGGTAGAGTGCTAGCCTTGAGCTGAAGAGCTGAGGGACAGTGCCCAAGCCCAGAGTTCAGGCCCCACGACCAGACCCCCCAAAAAAAATTCTTTATATGGCTAAACAGAAACAAGCATGCTAATTGCTATAATAGCAACTGTAATGGGTACATCTTGAGACTCAGAAAACTAAGCAGTTATAATGGAATTTGCTCACTTCTGTAATCCCAGCTATTAGAGAGGCAGAGATTTGGGAGGTTTGAGGTTTGAGACTAGCCTGGACAAAAAGTTCCTAAGACCTCATCCCAACCAGTATGCGGTGCCATCGAATACCTAGCATCCCTCCTACACGGGAAGCGTGAAGAGAAGGACTTCATCTATGCTGGCATACATGGGAGATCTCATTCAAAAATAACTAAAGCAAAAAGATGGGGGGTGTGGATTAAGTCAGAGCACCTTCCTAGGGTGGGGCCCTATCTTCCTAGGCCCATCCAAGTAACACAGATACACAAAAATGACCCCAACTCCTAGAGCTTCGAAGCAATCAGAACTCAGATCTAGAGCCAAAAAGCCAGAGGAAACCCCTGTAAGGATGCAGCAATGAGGGTCAGCGGTGACTCACCTCTGGCAAAAGGCACGGGTCATTCTGCAAAAGCAGGATGCGAAGCTGGGCTTCATTGAGACCAAAGAGCCCGTGGCTTTTCAGGACTTGGGTGTTGACTGGGCTGTGGATGTCATGGGAAAGGGCACAGATGGACCTAGGAGAATACAACAGCCGTGGTCAGACGCTGAGGTGAGCAAGGGGAGGTGGGTGCAGGTCCCTTTCCTGGGCAGCTTCCGGCTTACAGGTGAAGTCAATTTCTCAAGTACTGAGAATAAAAATCAAAATACTGAGATATGCTGGCTCATGCCTGGAATCCTAGTCACTGGGGATGATGAGATCAGATGATCTTGGTCTGAAGACAGCGGCACAGAAACACCCAGGAGACTCTTATCGCCAATTAACCTGCAGAAAGTCAGAAATGGAAGTGTGGCTCAAGTGGTAGAACACCAACCTTGAGTGAAATAAAGCTAAGCAAAAGCACAAGGCCAGCCAGCCAGGGAGTCTGCTTACCTAAATGTGTTTAAGCAGAGATTTAGATAAGGCTGACAATAATTGTGCTATATGATAAGAGCCTAAAGGACAACCAGAGTCGTTCAGGGCCCTGAGAATGGCTACAACTAGTTTTAATAGGGGGAAGCATTTTTGCAAGACCTCACTATTAGGTTTTTAAAAAGAGGTGGCCGAGTAGGAACAGCACCACGCACGTGGTATTCAGGTGAGGGGTAGGTTTATTCAGTAGACCTGTTGGGACCAGGCAAGGTTGGCACTCCACGCACGCGGCTGGCAAAAGAGAGCGTCTGGCCTGGGTTAGGCCTTATATAGGGTGGGGGGGGGGAGGTGTGTCCAGGTAAAGGGAAGTGGGACCAGGTAAGAGGTGGGACCAGGTGGGAGAAAGGTGTGACTACATCAGATTAAGATGTGACCACAGCGGATGCAGATGTGACCTCTTCCAGGTGTCCCAGTTGCCTAGGTAACGCAGGTACTGGGTGAGGTCTGTTCGCGTCCAGGAATGGACCTTACACTCACTACCACAAAAGATGCGAAGAATTGAAATGCAAATGTTAGAACTTTTTTGAAGGACTGTGGCACAGAGTCTTGGGCCAAGGAGGTCCTGAAAGAGAACTTCAGGTGCAAGAAATGAACAAAGAAGTTGACTATTAAAAAGAAAAGCGGCTCCAGGAGATGGACACGGACGGTGTTTTTCCTTTGTCTTTTCTTGTCAGTCCGTGCGTTCCTTTCTCTGTCTTTGGGAGGGTTGGGGAGGCCCAGGAAACTGGACACGAGGTGGGAAATGAACGCTGCCACTTGTGGGTGGGGCCGGGAGGGGAGAACTGGGGGAGAGCCAGGGAAGGGGTGACACGGTCCCCAGAGAAATGTCCCCGTTACCTGACATGTCATGTGCCCTTCCGTAATCACCTGCATATTAACACATTTTAAAAGGTAAAACAAAGCGCAAGGCCCCGAGTTCAAGCCCCAGGGCCAGTACACGTACACACACGTATGCGCACAGCTCACGCGCGCCCCTGGTCC